GACGTACCTATATCTGCACATGAAGTGTAGGGTGTAGTATGAGTACAACCGAGCCAATGTAACAAGCATAAAGAAATATTGATCACTTTTATCTTAATCTTAATAAAAAAAAGGAATCAAGTGCCTTGGATTCAAATATTCAAACAGTCTTTCTTGCTATCGAAATCTAAACAATATATATATATATATATATATATATATATATATATATATATATATATATATATATATATATATGTGTGTGTGTGTGTGTGTGTGTGTGTGTGTGTGTGTGTGTGTGTGTCCAAAATGAATCATTTAGAGCTCCGATTTCTAGTCCATTCTATTTTCTTTTGGTAGTTCGATCGTGGAATTTCTTTGTTACTCAATAAGTAACCGAACTAAGCTTGGGTTGAAAGCAGTGACAAGCTCAGATACGTACCGTCCAAATCTAGATAATAACAATATAGATATGACGAGAAAATGACAGTAATAACGAAGAGAAATCTCATAATCAGTTGTACACGGTACAGAAATGTAGACATGCTTTCAAGTTCAACAGTTTTGGCTCAATACTGATAAAATATGCCAAGTATAGCTAGCATGAGGAATATTACATCTCTATGCCTACATGTCAAATATGCATGTCACCTGTAATGCAACACAGTGATAAACTCTTATACTCATGCTCTCGGAGTATTCAACCTCACTCAACACACTCAATCGCTCAACACTCTCAATCGCTCAGCACTCTCAATCACTAGGCACTCGCACTTAGCACTCAACGGTACCTGTGCTCACTGCTGGTATGCCAAACTCCAGCGGGATGAACCCTGCCCAAGCGCTAATATAAGCCAACATGGCATGCTGCAGCCTGCAGCCCGATCCCATCATGAATCAATAAAGCCTACTGCGGCAAGCAGCTCGATTCCATAAATATCACTCACAATCAGGCCCTCAGCCTCAGCTCACTCATCAATCTCTCCAGTCTCTCGAGCTCAATAATCTCATGCCACAAAATAATGATACATGATGTAACAATAAATGATAACAGACACTGAGATATGATATGCAAATGATGAATGTGACTGAGTACATAATATCAATTTAAGGAAATAACTCAATAGCAGAAACAACCTCGGTGGGTCCCAACAATACCAGCATATAGCCTAGACATGATTTCTAACATGGATCGCAGCTCAATTTCTCTAACACATGGAGATTACATAAATAACAACAAGATTTGATAGCTACACAGTACCACGGAATCAACTGAGTCACAATTACCACGGTGCACGCCCGTCACCTAGCATGTGCATCACCTAAACACCAACTACATAACACGGAGTTCAGGGATTCATACCCTCTGTACCAAGTTTAGAACTGTCACTTACCTCAAACCACGCAAATCCCTACCCCAACAAGCCCTTGCCTAGCGAATCAGCCTCTGAATGACTCAAATCTAGCAACAAACAACTTAATACAATCAATACAAGCTATAGGAATTGATTCCATATGATAAAGCTAAGTTCTTTGACCAAAGTCAAAAATTCAACCCCAGGCCCACGTCTCGGAATCCGACAAAATTTACAAAATCCGAACACACATTCAATAACGAGTCCAACCATACAAAAATCATCCAATTCCGACCTCAAATCGCCTTTCAAATCCTCAAAATATAGTTTATGAAGTTTTTACAATTTTCCCCAATTTTTCCAACCCAAAACACTAATTAAATGGTAAAAAAAATGATAGCTTCATGTATATTAACCAAATTCGAGTTAGAATCACTTGCCCCACTCAACTCCCTGAAAATCGCTTCACAAATCGTCCAAAACCGAGTCTCTAGCTCAAAATATGAAAAATGGATCAAAACCCTCGATTTTGAAATTAAATAACTGCTAGCCAGATGTCCTTCTTCGCGTATGCGGGAAGTGCCTCGCATTCGCGAAGCACAAAAGCTCAACTACCCAAAGTCCTCGTACGCAAACGCGAGAATTTCCCCGCGAATGCGATGGCCAATGATCCATGCCTATGCAGTCACGAACCGTCTCCCGTGAACGCGAAGGCATACAAGTCTGGTGCCCCACCTGCCTCATCCTTCTACGCGAACGCGAGCCCCCTCTCGTGATCGCGATGAACAAACTCCCTGTACCTTCACGAATGCATGGCCTTCTTCATGAACGCGAAGAAAAAACTTCACCTTCCACCCAGATACACTTAGCGAACGCGAGACCTCTCTCGCGAACGTGTATAAGGAAACTAGAACCAGAAATTCTGCAGCTCTACAAGGCCAAACTCAATCCGCAATCAACCCGAAACTCACCCGAGGCCCGGGGACCCCATCCAAACATACCAACACATCCTAAAACATCATTCGAACCTAGTCGAACCCTTAAATCACATCAAACAACATCGAAAACATTAATCTCACCCCAATTCAAGCCTAATGAACTATTAAACTTCCAACTTCTAAAACCAATACGGAAACACACCAAATCAACTCCGATTGACCTCAAATTTTGCACACAAGTCACAAATGACACAACAGACCTATTCCAACTTCCGGAACCAAAATCCGAGCCCGGTAACCATAAAGTCAACTCTCGGTCAAACTTCTCAACTCTCCAAACATTAAGTTTTCCAACTTCGCCAATTCAAGCCAAAATCACCTACGGACCTCCAAATCAATATCCGGACACATTCCTAAGTCCAAAATCACCATACAAAGCTATCAGAACCATCAAAACTCCATTCTGGACTCATTTATGCATAAGTCAACATCCGGTCAACTCTTCCAACTTAGGCTTCCAACCTTGGGACTAAGTGTCCCAAATCATTGTGAAACATCTCCAGAACCAAACCAACCACCCTGTTATGTCACATAACAATAAACAAACATAAAATAAGCAATAAATAGGGGAACATGGCTACGATACTCAAAACGACTAATCGTGTCGTTACATTCTCCCCCTCTTAAACAAACGTTCGTCCTTGAACGGGTCTAGAATCATACCTGGAGTCTAAAATAGGTGTGGATAGCTTCTCCGTATCTCCTTCTCGGTGTCCCAAGTAGCCTCCTCGACTAGCTGACCTCTCCACTGTACCTTCACTAAAGTTATATTCTTTGACCTCAACTTTCGAACCTGCTGATACAAAATGGCCACCGGCTCCATATCATAAGTTAAATCCCCATCTAACAGAACCGCGCTGAATTCCAAAACATGAGACAGGTCACCGAAATACTTCCGGAGCATGGAAACATGAAACACTAGATAGACTAGGTGGCAGTGCAAGCTTGTAAACCACCTCTCTAATCCTCTCAAGCACCTCAAAAGGGCCAATATGCCGAGGGCTCAACTTTCCCTTCTTCCCGAACCTCATAACACCCTTCATGGGAGAAACTCTGAGTAATAACTTCTCCCCCACCATGTAGGCAACATCGCGAACCTTCCAATCGGCGTAACTCTTCTGTCTAGACTATGCCGTGCGAAGCCAATCCTGGATCAACTTAACCTTTTCCAAAGCATCCTGAACCAAGTCAATACCCAATAGCCTAGCCTCACATGGCTCAAACCAACTAATCGAAGACCGACACTGCCTCCCATACAAAGCCTTATATGGAGCCATTTGAATACTTGATTGGTAGTTGTTGTTATAGGAAAACTTTGAAAGCGGTAGAAACTAATCCCAAGAACCCCCTAAATCCATGACACACGCGCGTAGCATATCCTCCAATATCTGAATGGTGCGCTCAAACTGTCCATCCGTCTGAGGATCGAATGTTGTACTCAACTCAACCCGTGTGCCTAACTCTCGTTGCACTTCTCTCCAAAACTGCGATGTGAACTGCGTGCCCCGATCTGAAATAATGGACACCGGTACACCGTGAAGGCGATCAATCTCGCGGATATAGATCCCAGCCAACTTCTCCGAAGAATAGGTAGTCCCAACTGGAATAAAATATGCTGACTTAGTCACCCGATCTACAATCACCCAAATAGCATCAAATTTCTTCAAAGTCCGTGGGAGCCCAACTACAAAGTCCATGGTGATACGCTCTCATTTCCACTCAGGAATCTCAAGCCTCTAAAGCAAACCGTCCGGCCTCTGATGCTCGTACTTCACTTGCTGACAACTCATGCACCGAGCTACAAACTCTACTATATTTTTCTTCATTCTCCTCCGCCAATAGTGTTGCCTCAAGTCCTGATACATCTTTGCGGCACCCGGATGAATGGAATACCGCAAACTGTGGGCCTCCTCAAGAATCAACTAACGTAACCTATCTACATTGGGCATACAAATCTGACCCTACATCCGCAACACCCCATCATCTCCAATAGAAACCTCATTGGCATCACCGTGTCGTATCCTTAAGGACAAGCAAATGGGGGTCGTCATACTAAGGCTCTCTGATGCGATCATATAAAGAAGACCGAGATACCCCGCAAGCTAGAACCCTACTAGGCTCCGAGAGATCTAACCTCACGAACTGATTGGCCAAGTCCTGAACATCTGATGCAAGTAGTCTCTCTCCAACAGGAATATATGCAAGGCCATACTCACTGCCTTTCTACTCAAGGCATCGGTCATCATATTGGCCTTCTCGAGATGATACAAAATGGTAATATCATAGTCATTTAACAGCTCCAACCATCTTCGCTACCTCAAATTTAGATCTTTTTTCTTGAACAAGTGTTGATGACTCCGATGATCTGTAAATACCTCACAAGGCACGCCAAAGAGATAATGCCTCCAAATATTCAATGCATGAACGATGGCTGCCAACTCTAAATCATGAACGGGGTAGTTCTTCTCATGAGGCTTCAACTAGCGTGAAGCATAGACAATCACTCTATCATTCTGCATCAAGACACCCAATACCAATCTGAGAAGCATCATAATACACTGTATAAGAACTCGATGTTGAAGGCAAAACTAGAATTGGAGCTTTAGTCAAGGCAGTCTTGAGCTTTTGAAACTCTCCTCACACTCATTAGTCCACCTGAATGGAGCACCCTTTTGGATCAACCTGGTCAAAGGCGCTGCAATGGACGAGAAAACCCTCCACGAAGCGACGATAATATCTAGCCACACTGAGAAAACTTCGAATCTCAGTAGTTGAAAACAGTTTGAGCCAACTCTGAACCGCCTCAATCTTCTTTGGATCCACCTTGATACCCTCGCCGGACACCATGTGCCCCAAGAACGCCACCGGACTGAGCCAAAACACACACTTGGAGAACTTAGCATAAAGCTTCTCCTCCCTCAACATCTGTAGTACAATCCCCATATGTTGTGCATGCTCCTCCTGCTATGTGAGTACACCAGAATATCATCAATAAATACTATGAAAAACGAATCAAGATATGAAGGGAATACATTGTTCAGCAGATGCATGAATGCTCCTAGGCATTGGTCAGCCTAAAAGACATCACAAAGAACTCATAGTGACCATAGGGTCCTGAATGTCATCTTCAAAATATCAGAGTCCTAAATCTTCAATTGGTGATACCTAGACCTCAAATCAATCTTAGAGAACACTATACCTCCGTGAAGCTGGTCAAATAAGTCATCAATGCGCCTTAAAGGATACTTATTCTTAATTGTAACTTTGTTCAACTGCCTATAGTCGATGCACATCAACATAGTACCATCCTTCTTCTTCACAAACACAACCGATGTACCCCAAGGCAATACACTAGGCCTAATGAACTCCTTATCAAGAAGCTCATGAAGCTGCTCTTTCAATTCCTTCAACTCTACTGGTGCCATACGATACGGAGGGATAGAAATGGGCTGAGTTCCCGGCACCAAGTCAATACCAAAATCAATGTCCATGTCGGGTGGCATGCCCGGCAGGTCTACAGGAAACACATCCGAAAAGGCTTGTACTACTGGAATAGAATCAATGGTAGGAGTATCAGCACCAACATTCCTCACAAAAGCCAAATATGACAAACACCCCTTCCCAACCATTTGTTGGGCCTTCAGGTATGAGATCACCCTACTAGGAACATAGTCTAGAGAACCTCTCCACTCGATCCTAGGTAACCCCGATATTGCCAATGTCACGGTCTTAGCGTGACAATCCAGAATAGCATTACATGAGGACAACCAATCCATGCCCAAAATCACGTCAAAATCAACCATACTAAGCAATAAGAGATTAACTCTCGTCTCCAATCCCCCAAAGGTCACCAGACACAACCGATACACATGGTCCATAATAATAGAATTGCCTAACGGCGTAGATACATGAACGGATAAAACTAAGGACTCACAGGCATATTCAAATAACGAGCAAAATACGATGATACATATGAATAAGTAGAACCAGGGTCAAATAATATGGAAGCACCCCTGTGGAAAACTGAGACAATACATGTGATCACTGCGTGTGAAGCAACAACCTCTGGCCTAGCAGGGAAAGCATAGCGTCGAGCCTCACTGCTGATTGGCCTCCCCCTCTAGGGTGACCTCTAGCTGCCTAAGCCCCATCCCGAACTGGCTGAGCGGGTGGTGAAGTAACTGGTGCGGGAGTCATAACCTGGCCCTTCTGCTGAACTGGACCTCCATAACAACGTAGAAATTGACTCCACACATGTCAAATCTCCCCGTACTCGAAGTAACTCCGATCCGCCAATGGTGGTGGAGACTAAATCGGACCCCGAGAACCAAAATAGCTGCTAGAAGAACCTGGTACAGATGACCCTTGAACTGATGGAGCACGAGATGAACTTTGAGCTGGGAGGCACTAAGAGATGACTGACCTAGACGAGCACTATATGAACCATATCTAGCTGACACACCGGACGAGCCATCTAAGCGGTCCTATAAGAACTGCCTCTGCTGCAGTGGGATTGCCCTCCAGAAGAAACACCATTGAAACCACCCGAACCACGAGGCTTCTTGGCCTCCCTCTCCTTACGCTCCTGACTACTGACCTGCTCTAGCCGCCTAGCAATATCAACCACCTCCTCGAACATAGCACCTGATGCAATCTCCCGAGTCATGACGAAACGCAGTCCATAGTTGAGGCCATCAATGAACCTCCTAATCCTCTCCCTCTCTATAGGAACCAACCAGATTGCTTGACGAGCCAACTCTGAAAATCTCATCTCATACTAGGTCGCTGACATACCCTCCTGGCGTAGCTGCTCAAACTGCCTACGCAACTTTGCCCTGTGGGTCTGTGGAACAAACTTCTCTAAGAAGAGAACTGAGAACTCATGCCATGTAAGTGGTACAGCGCCAACTTGCCTGCTCAACTCATAGGCCTCCCACCATCTAAAGGCTGCCCCCAACAGCTTAAAAGTAGTAAATGAGACTCAACTAGTTTCCAGAATACGCCGTGCGAAGAATCTGCTCGCACCTGTCTAAGAAGTCTTGAGCATCCTCTGACTCAGCCCCACTAAATGTTGGAGGCCTGAGCCTCCTAAACGCTCTAGCCTTTTGTGCCTTGGCACTCATAGGTGGACCCACATGCACCTGAGCAACTACAACCAACTGGGTTGGTAGTGACCCTGATGTCTGAAGTCCCTGAACCACCTACTTTGGAGTATGGACGGCGGGAGTCTGAGCACCTCCCCCGGCCTGAGAAGTGGCTGGTGCAGCCTGAACTAAAACTTCCTGAGCAAGGCTAGTGCATACAGTCAATATCTGGGCCAAAGTCTCCTGAAGCCCTGGAATCACAATGGAGAGCTAGTGCCTGAATTGGTCCTACCGACTCAACCACATCTGATATCTGCTCCTAAGCTGGAGCAACTGGTGGCTCCACAAGTGCTGCTCTATCTGTTGTACGAGCTACACCTCAGCCTCTACCATGGCCCCGGCCTCTCGCGGCCCTAGCTACTGATACTGGTGGCCGTCTGCCCGATCTGGTAGCACGTGCCCTCACCATGTTGTGAGAGAATAGAATAATAGAAGTTTAGTTTCTGGTATCAACAAATTCATACGACAAGAATACAAGAAAGTGAAGTTTCCTAATGGTTCGGTACCCTCTTGAAAATAAGTACAGACATTTATGTACCGATCCACAAGACTCTACTAAACCTGCTTATGACTCGTGAGACCTATGTAACCTACGCTTTGATAAAAACTTGTCATGACCTAAATCTCACATGTCGTAATGGCGCCTATCACAATGCTAGGCAAGCCGACAATCACTAATAACTACGCATTTTAACTTGAAAACATAACGTAATAAGTTTAGCAGTGAAAGATCTCATAAATGACCGATAAGAATAACTGAGACTCAAATACAAAATCTCAAAAATCCGGGGGTCACCGAGTACATGAGCTACTAAATATCAAGACAGTCAAAACTTTTAATACAACTCTCTAGAAAGATAGAACATGGCTAAACAAAATGAAAAGAAAGAGAGTTAAGGTCTGCGAACACCAAAGCAGCAACCTCAAAAGTCTCCAAGCAAGTAATGCTCCAAGTCTAGCAACCATCGGGTCCAGATGTACCTGGATCTGCACACGAAGTGCAGAGTGTAGTATGAGTACAATCAACCCAATGTACTCAATAAGTAACTAGACTAACCTTGGGCTGAAAGCAGGGACGAGCACAGATAGGTACCGCCCAAATCCAGATAATAACAGTACAGATATGACAGGAAAATGATAGTAATAACTAAGAGAAATCTCATAATCAATTATACACAATACAGAAATGTAACAGTTTAGGCTCTATATTGATAAAATATGCCAAGTATAGCTAGCATGGGGACTATTACATCTCTATGTTTACATGTTAAATTTGCATGTTACATGTTATGCAATACAGTGATAAACTCATATACTCATGCTCTCGGGTGTATTCAACATCACTCAGCACTCCCAATCGCTCAGCACTCTCTCAATCGCTCAACACTCTCAATCACTCGGCACTCGCACTCAGCACTCAATGGTACCTGAGCTTGCTACTGGTATGTCAGAACCCGGAGGGGCAGATCCTGCCCAAGCGCCAATATAAGCCAAAATGGCATGCTGCGGCATGCAGCCCGATCCTATCATGAATCAATAAATCATGTTGCGGCATGCAGCCCGATCCCATAAATATCACTCACAATCAGGCCCTCGGCCTGAACTCAGTCATCAATCTCTCCAGTCTCTCGGGCTTACAAATCTCATGCCAATCAGCCCAAACAATGATACATGAAGAAATAATAAATGATAATAGAGACTAAGATATGATATTCAAATGGTGAATGTGATTGAGTACATATTTGCAATCTAAGCAAATAACTCAACAGCAAATATAACATCGGTGGGTCCCAACAGTACCAGCATATAGCCTAAACATGATTCTTAATATGGATCACAGCTCAATTTCTCTAACACATATGGATATTACATGAATAACAAAAAGATTTGATAACTACAAAGTACCACAGAATCAATCAAGTCACAGTTACCACAGTGCACGGCCACATGCCGATCACCTAGCATTTGTGTCACCTCAACACCAATTACATAACACGGAGTTCAGGCATTCATACCCTCAGTACCAAGTTTAAAAGTGTTACTTACCTCAAACCGCGCAAATCCCTACTTTAATAAGCCCTGGCCTCGCGAATCGGCCTCAGAATGACTCGAATCTAGCCACAAACAACTTGATACAACCAATACAAGCTATAGGAATTGATTCCATACAATAAAGCTATGTTCTTTATGCCAAAGTCAAAAAGTCAACCCAGAAAGTCAATCCAGACCCACATCTCGGAATCCAACAGAATTTACAAAATCCGAACACCCATTCAATAACAAATCCAACTATACCAAAATCATCCAAATGCGACCTCAAATCACCTTTCAAAACCTCAAAATATAGTTTATGAAGTTTCTACATTTTTTCTAACCCAAAACACTAATTAAATGGTAAAACCAATAATAGATTTATGTATATTAACCAAATCCGAGTTAGAATCACTTGCCCCAATCAGCTCCTTGAAAATCCCTTCAAGAATCGCCCAAAATCGAGGTCTCTAGCTCAAAATATGAAAAATGGGTCAAAATCCTCGATTTTGAAATTAAATAACTGCTGCCCAGATGTCTTTTTTCACAAACGCTAAAAGTGCCTCGCGTCCGTGAAGCACAAAAACTCAACAGCCAAAATCCTCTTAAGGGAACGCGAGAACTCCCACGCGAACGTGATGGCAACCCATGCCTACGCGATCGCGAACCATCTCCCGCCAACGCGAAGGCTTACAAGCCTAGTGCCCCACTTGCCTCATCCTTCTGCGAGAACGCGAGCCCCCTCTCATGATCGCGATGAACAAACTC